GGAAAACACGATTTATGGCGAACAGGTTATTTTACAAATCAACAAAATAATAACGGAGCAAACAAACTGAAAATTCACCGCCCGATCGACAGACAACTTTAAACCTAAGCGATAGCATCTCCAGATTCAGTTCAGCACTCGCTGTGACTTCTCTGGTGATAACAGCTCAATGTTAAACAGTAATGAATTCAGGCTAGTTAAAATAAAACACTTTATTCCTGAATTGGCATCAGCAACTACAAAACATAAATTCAGTTCTTATCACAAAAATGACATTAAATTACAATGTTCACTTGTACCACAGATATACTGTGAAAGTCATGCCATATCTGGTAGTGTTGCTAGCGTGAACCAACCAAGGTTCTTATTTTTCTTCTTTTAAAATCCTATATAATAGAATAGAAGTTTACTTCACGGAATGATATTTTCATCATCAGAGAATTGCCTGTGGTGGAGTGTACATATCCACTTCGATGGTAACTATATGCTGACCAGGTACCATAGCTAAACCCAGCACTCTAGGCTCTTCCTTTTCAGTGGTGTCTGATATTACAAGAAATAATACGACTAGGATTAGGGTATACACACATATAACCATTATGACAGTAATGACTTGATATGTTTAGGGACACTAGTTGAGGATTCACAAACATTTGGAAGTACACTTTGTAATGCTGCATGGCTGGCAGCATACTGTTGTATTTATTAAAGCTGCCCTTATTTTGAATTGTTTACACATACAACATTATTGTAAAATAGACATACATATTTTGATATATGCTATGTTTTATGTCACAGAGAAACATCACTTCAGTATTTTCCCTAGGATAATAAGATTTCTGCTTTTTGTGTACAACAAGTAGTTAGTTTTAGCGCCCATGTCATAGACTGGCGCAGTTGGGGCGATTAATTTGTTTTTGTAGTTTAAATAAAATGGAAGTGTTAGCGCGAAATCACCTGTAACTGCGAAATCACCCCGACTGGTTTATTCTGCATGGCCCTCTATCGACACTGCAGGAACCCGTCGATTTTTCAACAGGTAATTATGTTAATGAGTGTTGTAATTGACAATCATCTAAGCCAACCACAACGTCTCTTCAACTGACCTCTGACCGAGAAGATGTCGGCTGATTGTAGCAGCCGACTTTAT